TTCATTTCTAACTAGGTTATCTCAAGTCTACAGATCGATCTGAGTTATTATCGACATCAAAACACTTATAAATATTTGAATTCATATGGACGTAATGATAAGAAAATCTTATTTGAGTTATCATTCGTATCCTTGATTGTGTCAATGCATAATTGATTTCAATTAGTAAATAAGCTTTGATAAATTTGATTTCTTACCATTATATAAGAAAGATTAACAAAAACACATCTTGGTTGTTGAATATGTTTATTATTCATGGAAAAAAATTATTTTACGGGCTAACTGTATCTTTTATCGTCTAACCTGGTGAACGGCTATAGAAGAAAGAATATGATCATACTATTCATCTATGTCACTGCATACATAACTTTTCTTCATTCTTCTAATAATGTTTATTTTTTTCAGTAAAATGAATTATTGACTTCATTTCTATTGTTCGCTCTTTCTCATTAGTATCGTTACTCTATTAATTTATTCATTTCGTATATAAAGCAAATGATAATTTCAATTGATTGTTTGTTTTAATTGTTAAAAAAAGTTTAATGATAATTAAAACTAGAAAGATTTATTAGGGAGGCTTAGGTGAGTGAACTAGGTATTAAAACCGATACGTAATCAAGTATAATTAAGAAAAAAATAAAAAGATTTCAAAGCATTTAAAGGAGCACATGAATAAAAAGAAGTCAAATTGGGAAAACATTCTAAAAAGAACTGTAGGAAGTAAGATCGGTAAAGAAGATTACATGAATTAAATAGAATAAAATATTTTAAAGACGTGAAGTTAGAAAATACCGTCGTAAGCGACTATTAATCTTATGAGACAGCGAAAAGCAGTATCAATACGCCACCGTTTTTCATAGTCTCGTAATATGATAAAATCAATGACGAAAAAGATAATCATTTGCCAGCGTAAATACGTCCCATAAAACTGAATGATAGAGTTTGGCAAAATTCTGAAAATTCATGCAGTATGTATGAGGAGTGCACAAGAAATCAAACTTATTCTGGTTTGACCTTCCTTTACAGCTATAAACAATCTTTATCCCATTAGTAGTTTTAGTCCTTTTACTACCTTCACTCCTCTTAATTCCTTATCCTTCTATTAATATCACTGTTATACTTATTTTTTAGAACGTAAATATTTTGTTTTGCTCGAAATGTTCATTTCATCTTGGAGATTTTCGATCATTCGATGTCACCTTTCTCTTATTGGTTTGGAAATTCAACGAGTAAGGTATTTGTTGATTTTTTTATTTCATTCTTTTTGTTTCGAATTCATTTCTCTCGGAATTCAACATTGCCAATATCATAAATGTCGTTTAGGCAATATTCATTACAATTAAGCGTGTAAAAAGCTGCAATACTTGTAAACGACATAGTATTTGTCTACAGCAATTCGAACACATTATGCCTTGTATAAAAATCCGCGGTTTTGTATTGAGGATTATTTATTAATATCTGTAGAAAGGTGTGGATGTGTGGGAAGAAAAGAATCATATCCACACTAACACTCACACTCAAAACGGTAAACGATGATAAAGAATTGAATGAATTAAAAGAAGGACCAAGAAGAAGAAGAGAATTTTAAAAAGTAAAGGAACGAAAGAAATGAAAAAGAGTACAGAGACCATAGACAGTTAAAGGACTAAATGGATATTGATGGAAGACAGCTGTAGATGATTTGCTAGACCGAGGTAACTTTCATTTCTTGTAAACCTATAGATCGTATCTCAACTTAGGCCTATGACAAATATTTCTTCGATTTTGTATCTTATGACTTTCTCTAATTTTTATTATTTCATTAATAAAAGGCTTCAGACGATTTTCAATATAATACTTGTAATCTACAGGCTTCTCTTTATCTACAGTATGCATATAAACAATACTATTTTTTTTAAAGAATATGCAAAGCAGTTCCGTGTGATTCAAACTGGACAACAACTGCCGACAGATCGTTCGATATAATGTGCGTTATTTCAGCGGTATACCGGCATTCAACCGGCGTTAGTTTGAAACTTAAATAGCTGACTATACTCTGACCGCCATTCTACCGTGGTATACTGATTAGATAAGCATTGAACCCGAACGTTTGGGTTCTCTCTTGACTGCAATCATTTTCATTCAATTAATAAAAGGAAGTAGTAGTACGTCAAAACAAAGAATTTTAGGCTTGGCTCTGATAGATCTACATAGAATGAAATAAATGATCCAAAAATCGAAGGTATGCAAGCATACTAAAAAAAGTCAACAATGTTTAGAAATATCCGAACTCAAACTTAACCGAACCTTAGGGTACTTCTATGATTGTCCATATTCCTCAAGAAATGCCTGGGCAATTACCAAAATATCCGACACTGTCTAAATTGGTTGGATAGTTTCCGAAACTGAACCCCAGTCCGAACACAAACCGTTCGTTCCAAACATCAAGCCTAAGTTCGGATCCGGTGCATGCCTAATACCGATAGTTGTTATCTGATCAGTAATCTACTTCAGGTATACCAGTCGTTCTTATGAGTACTGCGGCCAACCGGAGGTTGTATGAACAAACATACAACATTAGTTACAATAGAAACTTTTTCTGTAGAAAGCTACGGACAGTGATGCGATGTCATCAATCATTCAAAAACTGAAAAATTAAGAATAATATTCTAAATGAATCATAGATTTTAATAAAAGCAAGAAACAGAAAAAATAATAAATCACTGCGTTTAATCTCAACACAATCATTATAGTAACGACGATTTACGTAATTGAGTTAGAAAACTGTATTGTTGTTGAGTTATTTTTCGTTTGGTTGATGAAGATGAATTTCTTCTTGTCCATCCAATCATCATTGATTTTGGTGATGAAGTCTCTCCTTTATGAGATTCTTTGAATATTGTTGGAGCAAGTAAAGGTGTTGATGATTCTTCTTGAACAACTTTTGTTGAAGGTGGAGATGAACATGTGCATTGACTACTTTCACTTGTACTTGTTGTTGTTGTTACTCCTTGAGGCATAAGATATGATCGAGAAAAACTAGTATAGGGTAAATTACAGGTATTATTTGTTTGATGATATAATTGATGTGAATGATGACAAACTATTGAAGGATGACGATGACGACTCATTGTTAACATGTATTCAGGTATATATTCATATTGATGATTTTGTGGAGTATCTTCATCATTGATAATATTTCCTAATGTTGAACATCGAAGAGCTTCACTTGATTTTAGCATACAATGAGAAGAAGTGCCTTTCATTGGTATTAATTGATGAGAATAATAGTCATCACAACAATTAGATGTGTTAGGTGTACACTAGAAAGATGAAATAAAACATATTATCAAAATGATTTGAACTAATATTATTAGAAATCTTTTCTAATATTTTATCATATTTTAACTGTTGATTTTTTTTTTCGTTCTAATATCACTGATTTCAGATTTAATTTAACATGACAGGTAAACTAATTTTATCGTAACGATGATACTTTATTCTACTATTTAAATCTTCGGAATGAACAGAACTATGTATATCATCTAGATTCTAATGAACTATGAATACCTTGAGAGGAGTTCAAACTAATAGCTCATTGCTACAGAGATGCTGTATTTTTTAGCAGAATATAATGGTTCTCCTCAGGAACACTCGGAAAATTGAATTTCGACTTTCGATTTGAAACTTTCCACAGAGACAGATCTTGACAAGAGTAATTTATTGTGAAAGTTTCAGATTTTTTAATTGCGCCTATCTTGAAATAAGAACGTCTGAATTTGCCATTATATATGAGCAGCATGGAAAAACCATGCTTTTATCATAGTCATATCTTAGGATAAAAGCAATCAAAAGATCTAAAACTTTTACAATAAACTATTCTCATTAAGGTGTGTTTCTATACAAAGTTTCAAGTTGAAATTCGCAATTCAGTTTTCCTAATGTTCGTGAGAGGATAGAGTCCATCAGATTGATCCTGAACTTCGAGTGGGTCGATTCTGCGTCTGAAATTTTTCGATCCGATGGGCTCTAGAGGAAGGCCATAACATTATGCTAAAAATACCGTAACATACAGTATCACGCCAGCAATAAGCTATTTATTCGAACTATTTTCAGAACATTCATAGCTTATTAGAACTTATATGATGTACATAGTCGCGATTCAAAAGCAAATTTGACACTTAGAAACGCTCTCTTATTTGTATATCAAAAATTTAAAAATCTCCGATTCGTATTTTTAATGATTTACATAGAAAACTAATTGAGAAAGTTGAACATTTTAAATTTTCATTTCATCAAGTTGTGAAAAAAAAATTTCATAGAGAAAAAAATTCAGCTGTTATTGATTTTATCGTTAGTGAGTGTCTATTATCAATATCTATATGAGATTGATTGATAAAAAAAGAAAAATAACTGTGTAAAATAATTCACACTTGTCTGAAATCTTTAACATATACATACTTCATTTTCTAAAGTGTTTTTCCTCTTCAACTAATATAATATATTTGACCTTGAATATTTAATCAATTAGAAAGCATTATATTACCTTGTAATGTTCACTTGTTCTAGTACACCCATCAATATGATGATGTCGATGATGACTTCTCGATGTCAATGAACCAGACATAATACAATTTTTATATTGCTTTTCTTCTTTTCTTAATTTTCTAAATTAACAAAAAAAAAAAAAACATTTTTTTTAGTTTTTTCTTTTGTGAGATAAAATCAATAAATATTCATTTATACTTAAGACAAATAAAAATAAATATAGCAATAATAATACACAAAATAACACTAAATACAGCCACAATAAGAAGAAAAATATTTAACCAATTATTTGTTTCTTCATGTTTATGAAGAATTGTTGAAGAAGAAGATGAAATATTAAGAATATTTAATGATGGTCGTACACATTGACCATTTAAAATTTCAATTGTTTGAAAATTTTCAAACAAAGATCCTGGCGGCTTAGGTGGTGGACGTATTGTAAATAATGGTGGTGGAGGAAGACGACGGAAACCATCATTCGTCATCTAAAAAACTGAAATTATCATAATTCAATGTCAAAAACATTATCTTCCACTACTATTAAAAAGCACTTTCATAGAAACAAATCGACAAGCTATAAACTAAACATTGTTATTATCATATACTTAAATAAAATACTGACCTTCATTTTGTTTCATACTATAAAAGAATTTTTATTAAAATGTTACTCAACATAGTAACATCTTTTAGTTTGAGCAAACAATGAAAAAACAAAGAACAAGAAAATCGATATTTTCTTAGTTAGTACTTTCAATTAAACTTAACTCTGATACTTTTTATTCATACAATAGAATAAATATGACTTTTTTCCTTTCATTGACATTCGATAAGAAGAATACAATTCTTTCTTTTTTTTTTCCTCACGATTACGTATAAGAGAGAAGCAACAAAAAAAAAAAAGAAAAGAACTATTGAATGATCAATGATCAATATACTAGCCCTTATCACTGCACAAGTTCATATTGTTGAAAAGTTCTTGTCATCACATATGAAAGATAATAAAACTAGAGTTCGATGAATATTATGTAAAAATATGAAGAAAGAATATCAATGATTGATTTATTTCTATTGAATCGATAAAAGCAACAAAAAAAAAAAAGAAAAGCAAAAGACTTGTCATTTAAAGCGTACATAAATGTTTTGCCTGAAGGTCATTTCCTTAACATTCACTTATACAATTGAACAATCGTTTATCATCATATGAGTATTAATGTGCATCCTTCAATTAACAACTAATGACATGTGACAACCCTTTCATTAGCACAAGATCAAAATAAGCCAAGGGCATATCAATCGAAACGAAAAATTTATTTCGAATAAACAACGTGATACATAATCTTTATCGTCTATGCTAAGCCGATGGTCGATGCTCAAAGGCACATCTATTTCTCGTTTTTCTTTTTTTTATACACATTGATCTAATCCTATTTGTTATTCGATCCACATAGTATAAACTAATGTCTGGACATCTATCAAAAAAAAAAACAGCAGAAATGCGAAGAATGAACTCGCCATAATTATGTAATCATCTAATTAGACTAAATGAACTCTTCAACACATCTTATATCATTATTTTGACAAAAAAGAAAAAGAATTCTTACTCTTCGTTATCTTTTCACTAAAAATGAACATACATGCAAACATTAATGTGTAAAGATTTTAATCTCTATCATTTAGTCCATCGATTGGTATATATATAAAAAAATTTACATAAAAGTTATTCAATATTCTTTAAAACTAAAATATTTCTTTTCTTTTTTCATTCAAAGATATTCGAATGATGTAATCAATATAAAATAAAATAAACGATAAAGAAGTCATTCAAACATCGGGTTTACAAATAAAAAAACAAATATTTGATTGATGTCTTGTTCTTTAACTATAAACTAATAAATAGTTAATGAACAAATTTATATATTCATTAATAAAACTTACCTGAATTTTTGAAAGTGACATTAAATAATTTCATTGATACTACTCATTATTTTTCCATCATATTCGCTTCATTGAACTTTTTTTTTATACTTTTGCACATGATTATGCAAAAAAAAAGAGAGGAAAAGAATAATCTGTTGCGCATGTGCACAAAGTTGATGTGTCATGAAGATGATGAAAGGACTCTACATTTAGCCTTGCTCAAATCATCATCTATTTCCTTTAAGATAGGATAGAAAAAAAGAAAAAAGGAAAATGATACACAAAAGTATCCAATGATAATTAAAATCGAAAAGCTTAATAGATAAAAAAAAAAGAAGACGAAGAAGAATTGTCCTTTCTCATACTTCGTTCAATATATCATCTATTTCTCTAATTCAATATTTGTCAAGTAGTAAAAAAAAAAAAAGAAACAGAACACTTTTTTCTATCATCTCTCTCGTTCTACTTTATTATATGGAATTAGTCTCGTTCTCTTCGAGAGAAGGTCAACTCACACATATACGAACAAATAAAAGAGGTCATTCCTTTAAAACAAAAAAAAAAATGTCTTTTCATAGAAAGTTGAAAAAATATGGACACCTGTAGTGTCATGTAAGACGATCTTTTTCTTTTACATATATACACACCTTATTATATATATATATGTATGTTGTGGAGTGTAGATCAGTCGAATAGACCATCTAATCTTTCTTTCTCTTTTTTTATACATGTGTTGAACAATGTGAACATATGCTTATGTTTGTGTATCGTGTAGGGTGGAGATTGAACACAGCAGGGAATAACACATACCAATGAATTTAACTTAAAAAGAATCTTTGTTTTCCTTCTATTCAAGAAAAAATTGTCTAACAAAGAATTTTTTTTTTCTTCTATTATGTTTATAATGAAATGAACATGTTTGTTGAACGTGTTAGGTGTTTGACAAATATTGAATGTCGTTCTACCGTATTTTAATTTGATTTTTCTTCAAAGAAGAAAAGTCTCTTTATTCAATAGTATGTAAGCAAAGAAAGATTATGTTTTGTTTTTTTTTTTTATATAGAATAATGTCTAGAACTTCATAATAATTATTCTATTTCTAATTATTGGACTATTTATATGACATTTTTTTTTCTTAGTTGAGTTACGAAAAAAAAATATTGTTATAATTAGTTAATCAAAATGATACATATATTAAATTACGGACAGAACAGCTGGACGATGTCAAGTGAGAATGATGATGAGCTTAAGGCGATGGCGGTTCGAAAAGAAAAAGAAATTGCTTATGTGTCAATGATTCTCATAGGATAAGACGAGATATGTCATCAATATGGACAACTCAATCTCTTGAGGCAACAACTACTAAGAATGTCATTGCTCACGTCATGTGCAGACATAGAGGAATCCCATCAAGAACAATGTCTATTAAAGAAACAAAAGAACTATGATCTTTGATGAACGAAAGAAAAAATCATTTTGTCAATAATGTTGTGTTTTTGAATTTTTTTTCTATAAAGTTTTATTAACCGAATGATCTTCATAATTGAATTGAATTCATTAAAATAGTTTAAATTTTTTTTTCAATTGTTAATTTATTGAAAAGAAAAGGAGATTTTGTATACAATAAGTCATATCGGAAGTTGTATTCTTTTTCCTTTTTGACAAGTCACTTCAATTGTTTCAGCCTACTATAATAATTTGTTACGTAATTTGATACTTGTTTAATAAGATAAGAAATGAACACATTGAAGTATGTTGCTAAATAACTCTATTCTATTCTATAGAAAATGTGTGAATATTAGTATAGTGCTAAATTATTAAAAGAATTCTTGATCTTCTAATAAATACATGGCCATAATGAGTTATGTTACTTCTATAAACATTATTTTTCGATTCAAATGGATTCTTTTATAGTCAAGTTCGAAAAAGAAAAATATTCAAACAATTGAAGAATTGTGTTACATAAATTTTAATGCATCTTGAAAATCGATTTAAGAGAATATTCTCAAATGACTAACGGGTGGCGTAGATTAAACAGAATAATATTATTTTCTGCTTTTATTTTTAGACACTCAGACACATTTTCAGAAAATTATTCAATAAAGAATTTTTCGCTTTACAAAACTGTTGCACTCGTTTTTCAAATAAGTTCTTTTTGTTGGAGCAAAATTTAAAATGTTAAAATTCATTTAATCGTGCAACTGCAACTGTAAAAACAATAGAAAAACGATGCATATTTTGATATATATTTCAGAAGAAATATTTGCAAGAATAATCATGAAGTAAAAACTGAGAAAAAAGGCCTTGTCTGATAGGATTACATTGTTGTTTACTTTTTATTTTTATTTTGATACAACTCTGCAACTTAGCAGTCACAACATTTTGTTTAAAATTAAATTCAACATTCGACAGAACGAGAGTGACTATTTTATACACTAAGTCTCACTTTGGAAAACATATTTTCCCAACATGCGTAGAAAAATATCAGTAGATTTTAATTGCAAGTTCTTTTTTTGCTCATAAATGATTGTAACAGGAACCTTGAAAAGTTTGTAGAAGTGAAAAGCACAAAATTCCCTATATCTCGATGTTAATCACGTTATTTCTTTTTATTAGTCTTCGTGAAAAAAGATTTATACAAATTGATAGAAATATGCAGAAAATTGAAAATAGCAGTGAAACAAATGAACAAGCGTTTTTATCTTAAACTTTGCTCCAACAAGAAAAATTTATTTGAAAAACAAACGAAACAATTTTGATGAGCAAAAAATTCTCTATGAAATGATTTTCTTATAGTATATTGAAGTGATCCCAAAAAAGAAAATGATATTATCCCATTTAATCTGCGTCATGCATTAAATGTCAGAATTATCGTAGTTCTTCACATAATCAAACTAATGATATATTTTAATATGAATTTTGAATTAACCAATAAGAATCCATATGAATCTGTCTAGACTAATTTTTAGACATAGTATTTTGTTTCTAGCTGATTAACTTTGAATTTGTGAAAACTTTTAAATCAATATATGAAATGAATGAATGTAAATGCTTGATTGTGACCAAATATAGAGAACAAGTGAACTAATAGATAAAATGTTTCATATGCCTTTCTTACTAACTACCAATGTTTATAATATAGTTGTCTTAAAATATAATAGTTAACTTAATTAGATTTACAATAGAATTTAAAATTTTCTTTTCTTTTTACTGTTTAAATCATCATCATGAAAATTAAAATATTGTGTTTTGTTAACAAAACATGGTTATTAAGGATACATTCTCCTCTTTCGTCATCCAACATTGTTGATTTTTTTTGTGGTCATTGTATAGTCTGAAGTAGTATCTATTTACTGCGTACATTTTTGGATCCAAAAATTGTCTTTAAATGTTAAAAATTTTAAATTTACGTAACGCAAAAAGCAAAAACTATACATTGTTTCTCATTTTTCTCAAACCAACTTTCTCATGAAAACAAAAAAAAGAGCAAAAATGCTTCCGTTTCTGCGGCCTAATATGTCCGATCGAGTTGAAACTTTTTCACATATATTATACACTGTTTGGGATG